TTAAAAAATTCTGCAACCCATTTTTTGAGGAAGTATTCAAAACACTTCGGGATTTATGAAAGCCTCCTCTAATTTTTGGAAACTGTTGCTGGAGGCGCTCTCAGGACATTATAAATGCTTGGTGCGTTAATTTTTATATCACCTCTTCTCAACTTATCTACTTATTCGTCAATATGTAACCTTTTCAAGCGGAGAACGCGTTAACATTGGAAATCATTTACAACTTTATTTTTTGGGAAACGCAAAATGAACAATACATATATAGACACAACTAGCAGCACTGGGAAGTGAAAAGATTCAAAACATGTCAACACATACTTTGAACCATTAAATGGGGTTTTCAAAAAAAATTTAATTCATTTCAACAAGAGACACATACATCTTTATCTTGTGGCTTGTATCAAAACGTTTGTTATTAATAAATTATCATTTGTTTGTATCATATTGGTTCTAACAAATTTGTTTCTTTACATTTCTTTATGGCATTTGGACTCCCATTCATTAAATTTATGGCGGACAAGTTATTACTTGAAGAGGATCAATATTTGAACTTTTCTTCTTTGCATCAATCCACTTTCTTCTATGCAATATAATTAATTTATTTAGATTTTATAATCAACTACATTTCTCATTGATAGGAATAATTTTGAAGTGTGTGTCGGTCTCAAAAGTTCCTTCAAAACAACCTAACGTTTTGATGAAAGAGCCATCAAACTCTCTTTTCTTTAATTTGGATTTGTCTCATCGTTCTCAGAAATTTATGTTTTGAATGGATTAGGGTGATATCATAATTCCAGGTGACATCTATCAAGAAAATTCCATTTATACCATTCAACTAAATATAGTTTTCCTCTTGCAAAAAACTTTTCTCTTTATCTCTTTGTATTGCAGATACAGTTATATTTTCCTGTTAGGAGGGGTTAAAATGTTGATTTTTTTGAATCTCTGCCCTGAGCTTGAGGAGATGATCCACAAGACATCCATGAAATTGGCTATTTCTGGGTGACCATTTTTCTTCCTCATCTGAATTTTCTTCCCTGCCCCCCTTTTCATTTGTGGAGGATCTAGATGGGAGCATCTCCTCTATCTAAAAATAAAAATGTCAGAAATTAAAAGGTCAAGATAAAAACCCATCAAAAAGCAGTTGACATAAATAACAAAAATTTTACCTCCTCTTTCGGTTGTTGTTCTGGATTTTCCTTCTGTGTTCCTTCATTTTGAAGACATTAATTTCAGCTGATGCTGAGTCTAGATGTTTTTATTTGCTGCTGCTGTTCCAACTGTAAAGTTATGTTTGTGATCAAGGATTTGCTTCTGTTGTTCAAATCCTTACTGAAAATTGGGAGGACAAGGTTATTTTTTTCCACAAATTATTTTTAGAATGATGTATCTGCAACATGCTATGATGCTGTTTCCCCAGTCAAAAACATTAGTGTCTTAAGCTGCAACAAAAATTTTAAGGAAATTTTGCCTGCCTCTACACTGGGACATCCTGCTAGAGAGATGGAGTTCCTTTTAAAAGGGGTTGCAGCCTTAAAGGGAAATATTTCTTCACCTCATTTATTTTTTTTAAGCACAAATGTATTTCTTCTGATCAAATACTGCCACAACTTATCCTTCCCCAATTGAAAATTAAATTTCATTAATATTTAGTTAAAGGTGAACTTCAAAAATTTGTTCCAAAAATTATTTTTTGTAATAAAAGTCATTTTGATTTCATAAATGTTTTTTTTTGGCCTATTCAAGGCAAGTCTTTACTGTAAATAAATTGTATAAATCAAATAACATTATTTTTGGGGTGTTCTCTGGCTGCTGGGGAGACACTGTGATTTTAAAAAAACAGAAAAGGCGCCTCCACAATTATGGAAAAACACATAATTGGGTTTAAGTGACCTTGAATATTAAAAAGTTGGTCAAAGGCAACAAAAATGTTCTCATTAATTGTTATTTAGTTTTAATTTGACAAACACAAGGAACAAAAATTTGGAACAAAATCTGTGAATGAAAAATTTATTTACAACAAAGAAAGAATTTGTATTTTGAAATTTAGCCTTAAGACCATACAATCTGTTCTTCAAATCACCTTCCAAAGTATGTGACATAAAGTTCCCTCTACCTTTCCTCTTCTGGTACATTTTTAAAAAATGTCTTAAATTGCTTTTGATTTTCCAATCTTTTAATTCCAAAGTAAGATTGAATTGATTAGTTTCTTTATTGCATTATTTGCCTTGATTTCATAATTTTCAGAGTCCATTTTGACTAAAAAAAAGTTTTTGTTTTTTTAAATCAGTTTATTCACATTTTATAGACTATATATATAATAATGATAATATAATTACAAAATACAAATAATGCCATTTCAGATGTAAAGGGCTACTGAAATGAATATATATATATAAATAAAAAATTTTTTACACCCACATTTTTTATTTAAGTATCCAGAAAAAACTTTTAAAAAAAAAACTTATATTAAAAAATCATTTCCTTGAACAGGAAACAAACAATAAACCTCAGTCTACAATTGTCTATTGAGTTTTTTTTCTTTTATGGAAAAAGACTGGGGAATTTTAAATTTGCAAACTGGACAATAATAGGCAAAAATACTAGTTTTCTAAATCCTATTGATTTGACACAATTATTATTTTTGTGTTACAATCAAGACAAAAAAAACTGAAATTAGGTTAAATTTAAGCATTTATGTTGAATTAAAAATGATTTCAAGATTGATGCAGGTTCCAAAGTCTTTATGTGAAGAGTTTAAACAAGGTTCAAAGTGCAAAGATATTTTTTAATTATTTTTAAAAAAAAAAATTGGAAGAACAAAAATGGACATCTACTCAGGTGATCACCTAAAGAAGAAATATTTGAAAATGATAGATTTTGAAACAAATAGATTTTTTGTTGTTTAAGGCAAATTTTAACAGAATGACATATTTTTAGAGCATTCAGCAAGATTCAAGCTGACTTTCAGTTACTTTGTTAAGACCAACTACTTTATTATCACAAGTATTCTTATATGGAGTAACTTTGTTTCAGATTATACAATGGAGTGTTGAAAAGTTCTTAGCTTGTTCAAAAAGCCATTATAAAAAACACCCCTGATGTTTGGACATGTGGTCAGATATTTTTTAGTGGATTGGGTCAAGAGATTTTCAGACCCCCCCCGCCTTTATATTCATATGGTTAAGATTTAATAAGGTTAAGATTTAATGGGTATTTAGGCACACACCTCCCATTCACAAAACTTCTTTCTGCTACATGCATGCAAATTGGGATTCATTTCACTTGGGAGAAAAGCTGGCATTAGGCTTTTATACCATCTCATAAATACAAGATAAGATTGCCATCTTCACCTTGATTCACATGTACCTGTTCAGCTGCTATAGCCCACAGGAATCACTTTAGTGATAACTCTGGTCACAACAGAGGCCCTCTTTGTGCCTGCTCATAATAAGTGCAAACATGTCCTCAATGAGGTTGTTGTTGTTTGCTGAGTGAGCCTATCACATGTTAGTGTGTTCAAAAAAGGGTAATCCTTAACCCCTCCTCTCTTCAATCAATTTGAAGTGCAAACATCTTCTGCTAATAAAACAGAGTGCTTAACCTGCAAATTCTCTTTTTTCCAATTTTTCACTCAATTTATCAGGAATACATTTGCACTTAGAACTAAGTTTCTACTAGGATATGCATATAACTCCATCTATTGTTTTTACTGTCATCTTCAAACTTGATCACCCCAAAGCATGTGAACTTGATGGTATCCTTGTAATTATCCTTAAGAACTGTGCCCTTAAACTGGCTCCTGATCTCTCTAATCTCTACAATAGATGCCTTGCTACTTCTTGTTTTCCAGATTGTTGGAAATCCTCCTCTTATGTAATTCTTGTTTTTAAGAACACTAGTAAAACATCTGACATGTTGAACTGTTGACTTCTTAGTCTTCTACCATTTTTAGGTAAAATACTAAAGGCTCTAATCAGTTTCAAATTGGTTAAGCATCTCACCTTGTAGTGTTTTCTTTTAAACAAACCACATGGCTTTCACTTTAGGTCAACTAAGGATATGGTGATGGTTATTGCTGAAAGAGTTTGTCAAGCCTGAGATAAGAATGATAAAGCTTGGACTGTTGCTTTAGATATTTTAAAGCTGTTTAACAGGGTTTGGCATGCAGGTCTTCTTCACAAATCTCGAAAATGACATTCAATCTGTTTTTAACTGGGGTAAGAAATGACTAATGACTTCATGAATATAAGTGCAGTACATGATTGACCGCTAGTTTTCATGATTTCACTGTTATAAAATTACTAATTGTAATCATAAGTTTTGAGGATAATAGATTCTTCTCTTGCACTTTTTGCTTGTGGAACTATCTTGCAGCTTCTTGCTTTCTTGTCAACTATGATCACCAAATATTTAAATGCAATGTCAATCATCATCATCATCTGTATTGTTGAATTCTGTTCTTTTATAATTCTGTTTCTTTCACTCTCAGTAACCCCTTGTATCCGAGTGGAAATTTCTAATGATGAAAAAATATAAAAAAAAGAGTAAGAACAATGTGTGATGTTTCTTTTTGATTCACAATACTTAGTTCTTTTTAACAAAACATTGCTGGTATTTAGAAACTTACACAAACTCATCATCACTTTCTCTGCAATCTTTTGGGGGAGTTGACATTTGCATATTTCAGCTTGTAACAACAGAATAGTCCCATGACATAAAACAATCTGAGCTCATATACAGTGGACTGAAAAGAATATGGTGTTGTAATTTGAATGATATGAAATGCTGAAGAAATCCAAGTTGATGGTAAAAAGAAAGGAAGCACAACCATTTCCATAGAGAATTATTACTTGTAAATCATTTGATGGGTTTCAATTTTCCTTGTATTTAATTAAAATAAGTTTTTGAAGCATTAATTTCATTATTTATTCTGACATTTTCATTAAATTTGTTAAACAAATTAATTCTGGAAAGCTTACTTTAAAGAAGAAAAAAATTCAAATAATCACCTGTTTAGTTGAAGAAACCTGAAAATATCTTTGAAAAAATGTTTTACTTTCAGTTGTATTTTTCAACTCCACTTTTATGGACCCATACACTTCGGTACAGTTTATCTTTTGTGGCCAATATACTGAGGCAAACTAAAAGTAAAAATGAAAACCTTTAAGATTTATATCAAGAGAAGATGAAAGGAAAAGCAAATTCAAATTTGTTGTAAATTAAATAAAAGTTAAACATGTATATTGTTGGTTTATTGAAAGTTTAGCTTTGGGTCTGAATAGATATAGAGATTTTATTGAACATTTCAGTAGACTCATTAGTAAATGTGGGAGTATTAAGTAACATGTGACTCAATGCATTTTAAAAGAAAGAAATGAGATTTGAATATTTCATTTTCTCTATGGAGGAATTAAAAACCATATAATTTAAGTTTAAATAATACCATATATATTATATCCACTAAAATCCCTAAAGTCTGTTGATGATGTGTCTATGTATGTATATACATCAAATTTTATTATGGTCAATATACTACAGTAACCTATGGTCAATATTTTCCAAAAGCAATTGGTATTAACTAATTAATTATTTTTGACATTTAAATTTTTAAAAAAGTTAAACAAAGCTGCTTTGATAAAAATCAATTTGTTTAATTGAGGAACAGTGGAAATTCAAAAAATGAGCTGCCACAGTGGTAAAAATCAATTTGTTTAATTTTTTACAAAAAACTGACATCCATCAAACATGGCACATGGAACTAGAAACAGTCTACCCTTCAACAATGTCGAAACTTTCAAGAAGAGTCATACATAAAACTTTCTGATAAAGAACTGATGAGGTCAATAGTTCGAATAATGTATTCACCTCATCTCAGAAATATAGACGTACTTTTCAAGGAGTTTGTTGTCTTTCAGAACTGTAATGCATTTTGGTGTATTCAATAAACACAATGCATGGAGAGCTACAGAGCTGAATGCATTGAAATTCTGAAAATGAGGCTTGCAAAAGTTAAGAGCCAATGGACCCACTTCAAGATTAATATCATCCGAGATTTTAAACACAGATTTCATCAAGTCTAGGGCCTTCAACTTGTCTTTATAGTAAAGTTGATTTAATTTCTATTTGAATTTCTACAATGAGGTGCTATCATTTACATGCAGACTATTGTCCTCATCTTTGTTGTTGTTATCACAACATTTTAGCCATTATGTTCTCCAGTCTTCATCAGGTGCTTGTTAATCCTGGTAATCAGAGAATTTTGAACTGAACCTTTCATTTAATCTACAGAGATTGTTCTTAATCTATACTCTATGTTCAGGAATATCTTGTCTAGTTCTTATTTAGTACTGCTCAATTGCTTGCTGAGTCCAAGTATACACAACCCAAAATGGAAAATGAAGCATGTAACTGCTATGTTACCAAATTCATGAGCCAATAATTCAATTCATTAGGCTTCACTTTTTACTGTAGGTGCTGCTACTTTTGAAGCCTTGCTGTCATTTATCTTTGTGTCTTTATTAACTGCTCCTATGTTGTACTTATGGTCTAGGATATGCAATTATTCATTTAACATATGCACTTATTTATTTAGATGTCTGTTATTCTAGTGTTCCTTCCTGTCCAGTATTTTTACTTAATTCCTCAGGATTTAATGACTATTCTTTTCTTTGTATACATAATCAGCCATGCTTCTTCTTGGATTTTACAAGCCCCAATTATTGTACATCCTTCTCTATTTGAGATGTACCAGGGAGACATGTTTCACAGATGGCCAAGGTATTGATCCTGCAGAGTGCATTACAGATGAAGGCTGATCTGCATTCTGGATTAGAAAAGCATTTGTTTAGGGCCCCTTTTCTCATCTTCTATTTGACCTGGAGAGGCCACACATACATGTACATGTGAGTATGTGTGTGTGAGAGAGTGTGTGAGAGAGAGAGAGAGAGTGGGGTGAAGAAAGGTAATTTGAATAAAGCTAGATATTTTTCTCATTATTTCTTTTGCTATAATTTTATTTTATTTTCTAATCAGTCTAAACTAAAACAGATTTTAATTTTAATCAAAAAAACTTTAAAAAAATAAATTTTATAAAATTATAGCACAAATAATAAAAAGCTAAACTCTTTATTTCTGAGCAACTCACTTTAGGTGTATCATCAAGCATGACGATGATTGAGTACCTCTTCTCATAAATAAGCTTCCAAAACATGTCTGCATTTTTTTTGGATGGTTGAAGGGTTAACATGAATTCATTCTTCATGAAGAAACCCTAAAAGACAAAAAAACAAAAACCTTTCTTGATAAATAGATAAATATTTCAAAACAAAACAAACATCTACATTTTGCCAATCAGTTTTAATCTGGTTAACATCATTATTAATGATGTTAATGTTTGTTAAAATTAACATCATCAATTTATTTTTTTAAAGATTTGAACTTTAGTTTTATTTGATATCAATTATGGCATTTAACATTCCAAATAACAAATATTTTGTTTGTACATAAAACCTTGGATAAATTCTTGTATGTAGAAATTCCTTTGCTAAGATTTGAGAATATTTACAACTTTCAATTTTACTTGATAAGATTAATTTAAACTCAATATTCTTTTCATTTAAGTTTTCATGTAAGCAATTAAAGATTTATCTGATCAGTTTATTAAATTTGTGAATTTTAGGTTAACTAACACATAAATACCTCATGAATAGAATCATTATTTACAATGTACATCTTTTTTAATCTAATTTTGACAACCCAAGTCAATTTGACTGATTTACTTACATCAACAAATATAGGTTCATGGAAATTTTTGCAACTGGCTTCAAAAACTGAAAGAAAATTAAAATTCAGTGAAGAATAAAAGAAAACAGAAATAAAAGAAGAATAAAGGAATTATTAAAGATTGTCTTTTATTGAAACAAAGCCTCTTTCAAGTCAATTGAGTTTCTATATGAGAAGTGTGATGATCTCACTTGTTGAAATACAGAACTGATAGTGTGGTTTCAAATCCAACAACTGGCCACTTTGTTTAGAAATACATATTATTTCCTTCAGTAAAATTTTGCATATACAAATACTTATATTTCAACTTACTAAAGACAACCAAGTTGTTACCAAATGACTGATGGCTGCTACTGAGACATGGCCATAAAATCTATAGATAACTGCAGTGCACTTGAAGTGACATTAATTACAATTGTGAAGATGGATTTTTAAACAAATTTGCAAGTGGTTTTGTTGGAGTTTTTGCACAACTCAAGAAACAGACATTGAAGTACAAGTATTTTTGTCCTGGCCCATTTCTCAAAATCTGACCAAATGACCAAACATCAAAATTTTGGGAAAGGGCTTCTTGGTCAGGCTGAGAACTTTTCACCATGTCATCATACAATCTTTTCTTTTAAATATATAAAATGAAATGCTGAATGCTACAAAAGCCTTACCATTATTTATCTCAACATTTGTATGTATTAGCTCTTGATATGATTCTGTTGGATGAGATTGATTCAGTGGAAATATGAATTCCTGAAAGATAAATGAACAAAAATTGAGTTCATAGAAAAGAGAAAATTAAGCAACACACAAAGTATGAATGTCATGAGAAGCATAAAATATTGTTAAACTGGTAATATCTTTACAATCATAGTAATAAATAATGTGTTATAACAATGCTCATTATTTAATGTAAAATACATAATACTTATATTTAACTCTTAGACTAACATTGCTATAATTGCTATCAAGCAGCACAGATCATAAACAACAATACCCCAGTGAAACTCAAGCCTATATATTCTTATCTTTAGACACTTGTCTTAATGTGACATTTGCTTTATCATAAGATGATCAACATACAGTATCTTCTTTAAAGTAGCACTTTTTTCATTACATGAAAACATTTCTTATCTAATCAGAAATCTAAACAGTTTCAAGACTTTAAATTATTTAAAATCATTTATTTATGATGGAATATATAATTTACCTTAAAGACAGGGTGAGATCAAAGAAAGCCAAAGAAAATAATTTCATGATTGATGTTATGAGTTTATATGAAGAAAATATTTTGACAAAAATCTTGGAATATATTTAATATTAAATTTGATTATTTAAGCATATAGATAAAATATATTATGGACTTGTTTAACATTATCTCTCAGTTTTCTGATACTAGTGCCCTACACTGCCCAATTTGCTGATTTACAATACTAATTTATGCATCATGTAATGGATAAATTGTCATCTAAATTATGCAAAAATTAAAATAACACTAACATCTCATGTTAACAGATATATTTACCAAAATCACACAAAAATATTTTTAAATAATATAGAGTAAATTTATTCAATAAAATTGCTATTAGCTTCAACCATGGCCTCCACACGACTTTGGAATCTTTTGCAACTCTTTTGGATGGTCTCCTTGTTTAAGTTGGTGAATGCTGCCATAATAGTTGTCTTCAGTCCATCTTTGGTGTTACAAGTTTTGTTGGTCTTTTGCTCAAGTGTGCCCCATACATAATAATCAAGGGGGTTGCAGTCCGAGGAGTTAGGTAACCAGTTGTAAGAGGTGATGTGGTTTGAGGTGCACATTTTGCAGAACTATTATCTTGAAATTATCTGACAGACATGATTGGGTTCTCCTGCTTGTATAGCATGGTGCAGTGTCCTGTTGCCATTCCATCCGCAATGCTATTGAACCAGGGTAGCACTACCTCCTCAAGGCACTTGGTGTAAGCTTCTGTGTTGAGTCTGAGGCCCTCACCAACAAATTCAGAAGTTATTTTCTTATCAGAAAAGTCAGAGTGACTTTTCCAAGCTGCGGTACCTTCGTAATCACCATTAGACTCATCTAACTCTTTCTGAATCCTGTACACTGTCCTCAGATTGACACCCAAACACTCTGAAATGTTCATATTGGAGCTTCTGGTACAAATGCCATGCAGTACAGCATGCCATTACCAAATTTCTGGCAGAATGAATTGCATCATGGTGCTCTTTTTGTCATGGACTGTGCCCAGCTGACCCTAGTATACTGTGCAGTTGACAAAATCAAAAACAATATGGATATTCAAAATTAAAAATATAAAATGGTGACAGTTTACACATTGCAGCCTATATATTGTGATGCATGTTGCTCAAAGTTACCTACTTGAATTCTTCATCTTAGTAGTAGGACAATATATCAAAACTTGTGGGTTATTAAATTTGGCTTTGTCAAAAGCACTCTCTAGAAGGCACTCTTTAAGACAATAAATAGGCAATGTTATTTTGGCCTTTTTAGATCTGGCTTTCAGATGTAGTTGCATGTAAATAGGAACGCTGCCGTTAAGGCACATTCACATCATTCTTTCTCCATTGACTTTTGAACTCTCTCACACTTGCATGTACACATACTTCTTTCACACATACTTAAACAAACATATTCTTCTTATAACTTGTTTTAATATTTTTTTCCTTTCATTATAATTGTCTATACATATAATTTCTTTTCTTAATACATACATTGTTGTTTTTGTTATATTTATTGTTTTGCATTACTTCATTTTACCTTGACTCACAGTGAGTCTGCCAATATTGTTTGTGAGATAAATGTTTCAGGAGCCCATAAACATTTACTATCCAAAATGTTGATTCCTGCAACATAATGGTGGCTAATAGATACCAAAACATACTAGCATCCTGTTACAATCAGTGACCACAATGCAATATTTTCTTCTGGATACAAAATTACACAAAACTATATAAACAAACTGAACAATGCATCATTTAGACACTTTTCAAAACCAAGAGCCAGTGAAGAAAAAACTTCAATCAACTTTTCTATCTACCAAAAAAAGCAATTTGACCAACCTCTCTATCTTCCGTACCATGTGGACACCAAAAAATAATTTACTTTTACAAATTTGTGATTAAACCTGATGCAAATAGCAAAATCACAAGTTTCAATATTCTAAAGCACATCTACATAACAGAGCAACTATTTGGACAAGATGGTCTGCAAATCAGAAAATATTTTTCTAATATTCACCACATGCAAAGAAAAATTACCAATAGACATTACTAGTAGTAATACGACTGCTTCATTTTAACCCCTTTGTCAGCAGACAAACAACACTCTTTTCATATCTACTGTCACTTGCTTAACCCTTTCTTTCTGCCAGGCACAATTATGCCTGATTCTACTACCACTGGCAGGCTTAACATTTAAACTCAACTTGACACATGATGTGAAAATATGACTTTTGCCTAACAAGTTTGAGACTCAGCTCATTTTCTTCAAGGATACTGCCCAGAATTCAGAAATAAACCTATGTGAACCATACAAGAAAATACCACTCAAGCAAGGATTAAGACAACTTCTCTCTTCACTATGCTGCAAAACTACAATCTCTCTCAGGCTTAACAGAAAAAGATGTGAACAATAATGACTAAGACATCTGCAAGTATAATTTAATGATAGCTGCACCTTCAAGAAAAATTGACAATAATACTAGACATCTTAAAAAATTCTCACAAAACATAATTTGATACTTGGGATCAATTTCACCAGCATTAGCTCAACATTTAAATCAAAGCTTTTTTTTAACTTTTGAATTTTTTATATCATCAAGATGAATCCATGCACGTTATAGCAAATGGCTGTTCAAACAAAAATCAACTCAGCATGGAGCATTGGAAAACAACCACAGAAGTTTAACAACTGTATCAACCACTGGACTATCTCTCTCTAACTTGTTTTTCAATATAAAACTCTACCAATATATTTTCCAGAATGTGCTACATTCTGAGTCACTAGAAATTTTACAGAACCCTGATGTTACAGTACTTCAAACAAGTACATTTTTGTTGATATGTTTAATCACACACATCTCAAATACATCAATTGAGTCTTTTATTTTCAGCCTACAAAGGACAAAACATACTCAAAATTTATAGATATAGTTGTAGATTAAAATTCTACTTGAACTCATTGAGTCTACCAATATTGTTTGCAGGATAAATGTTACAGGAACCCATAAATATTTACTATCCAAAGTGTTGATTCCTGCAGCATAATGGTGACTAATATTTACCCAAACATACTAGCATCCCACAACAAATCTAGGCAATCATATGTAATTGAGGTAAGAATTACTTCAATATTACTATACCTCCCAGAAATTAAAGTTTTATGCCCCCCATAAATGTTAAGCTTCTTCTATATGCTGTTTCATTTTTGATGATTCTTTGACCTCCTTATCTCACCACCTCTCTAGAGAGATTTAGATTTATCTTATTAATTATTGTGATTTTGGTGTTGTTTCTTCTTTTCTTCAAATTCTTGTCAAGGTTTTATTTGGTCGACATTGATAATCACAGTCTTCTGATTTTTTTTTAATACTAATCAATTTAGAGATTCGGTTTTATGTCTGTTATTTGGAACACACCTATTCTATAGTTAATAGACTCTCCCACCTATAATAAGTATTTAGCAGTCGCTAGGGAGTTTCAGTCAGTCGATGTCGGACGACCGTTAGTCGGATATTAAAGTATCAGTCACAACTAGATTACTGCATCATTACCTATTATATCAAGTTCCTAACATTTTGTACGTCGAACCTATTTTAGGACTGATTTAGTGAAATACAAGCCTCCACTTACTCTACAACAATGTCTCACACCTAAAATTTGTAATTTCTTTCTTGGATTAAAAATAAATTCCTGTCATAAAATTGCTGATATGCAATGGTCTCTTGCATCTTTAGTTAATGTAACATCTTTTTGGGGGATTTTTGTAATAAATTTTTTAGCAAGTATATTTTGCAAACTATCAAATGCTGTTTGTTGGATATTAGTCCATTTAAATTCAACATTTTTCTTAACACAAAATGGAAAAAAGGCTTACTTAATATTAACTATTTTGGTAAATACCTACTGGGTCTGGTGAAATATCTTTTGAAAATTAGTACCCAAAATATGCTATTTTATCCATAATTGAATATACAGATATTCTTCATTGTTTTTTAGTACATAGTTTGTTTTTGACTCCTATTTTTCTTTGTTGGTTGTCATCAAACATATCTCATCTTGAATATTATTATATTTTTTCATATTCCCTCTTGAAACATTTTTGATTGCTTTTTTAAATATCGTAATTGTTTTTTTACTCTGTATGGCATTTGGGTTCATCTAAGTAAACTTATGGCGGTGTTAATATTTGTTATGTCACTAAAATTATCATCAATTTGGATTTGGTAATAAGTGGTTTTGAAATTGATTTTTGCAAAAATTTATTGATTCCTAATGAATGTTAATTCCAAATTCAAGATTTGAAATAGGATATGAATCTGAATCGGTCTTATGTTTCACACCTATATTATAATCTCTGCAAGTACATCAACTGCCATTTAGTTTTCTCAACACAACTAATGGTATATCCTTATGCTTCCCCTAGGGAAACATGTAAAATGCCTTGTACTATTTTTCATAATTTTGCAATTTCTTGGGTCAATATGTGAATTGGTATTTTATGAGATTCAAAATGAGATGGGTGAAAATTTTCTTTCATTTTAATACTGTGTTCGTAATCTATTAACATTTCAGTTTTTATCAAATCTGAATTTATTGCATGAATTAAATGCATACTATTAACATTAATTACATCAGCTCTCATGAGGCCATGACTTTTCTTTCAATCAACAACAATTTCAAATCAAGTGTCTGTTTCAAATGTTTTCAAACTTATACCTTGTTTGAAAATTATTTTCCTTTTTACAAGTCTTGCATAGATGTTCAAATACTGGACATTTTTCTCATTTTGGTGTGTGTTTGTAATTAAAATATTTGCATTTTGGTTTCATCTTCTTTATTAAGTGCATGTTAGCAATTTCCTATTGATTTTCAGTAGAGTTAAATTTTTTAATCGACTCTTGTTTTTGTATAGAGTTGACACATGAGTTCAATGACATTTTACTCAATTGCAGTTATTCCAAAATTTTATATTTATGAGAAATGTTGTACATAACTTCATTTAATTATAGTTGGATTAATTCTTTTTCTATAGACATTTTGTCTTTTCCAAGTCTTTCAAATTTGCAATTAGCCATTTCTACATTTTCTAAGACTATTCCAGTTATAAAATAAAGCTACTGATATAATGAGAACTTTCCTTCAAAATTTTCCTTTTCTCTTTCCATTGGTTGACTGAATCAGTATTTGTTAGAGAAATAACCCAAGTTATAAACCATATTTACCTTGTTCCACTTCTGCTGTTAAATAGTTTTCTAGGCATAAAGTATACATGAAAGATTTTAGAAAGAAAGTGTCATTATGATATTAAATATCTATTGCTCTATATGTCTGCATGTGTGTCCCCATATGTTAAGGAGCCTCTGCTACTCTAAAAAAAAAACAAAAAACCATCAACAGATTTTAATTTTATCCTGATTATTCTTCAATTTTTGCTTTAATTCAACACAGGTGAGAAATAAGCATAAATTTAAGAAAGAAATTCAAGTATCTTGGAGGAACATGTGTGTGTTCTTTGAGGAGCAAATCAAGTAGAAACCAAAGAGCCATTGAATAAAAATTGGTTTCCAGAAAACTAACAACAATATTTGATATTATCTCTTGGCTTAGAAACAATAACTCATCAAATGTGTTTAGCGTTAGTGCAATGGTTTCATTCTTAATCATAAATGTTAAATGATTATTTAATGACAAGAAGGTAAAGGCAATTATTGTTTGAAATATAAACGTCTTCTTTCAATTTAGTTTGGAAAATCCTCTTTTATAGAAATGTCATAATTTACCTCATATTGCTTTTTAAGTATTGATTTTTCCCCATTTGCTTTGCTTGTTTGCAGTTTCTTAAACTCCTCAGGAATGGAAGTAACAAAAATCTCTGAGAAGCCAGTCAAAATCTCTTCAGCTAAAACATCATGGATAAATTGATACTGACTCTGCAAATAAGAATCAAACAGATAAACAAATGACATGAACAGAAAATAGAAACTGTCCAAGAAAATAAAAACATCAAATATTATTGGATTTTAAGATTTAACAAGTTTAGTATGTCTAACTTTAAAAAGCAACCACATTAAATATAGAGTTTCTCATGATTCAGTGGTTAAAAGTGAAAGAGTTAATAGAAAAATCTATAAAAATTTTAAAAAAATGTTCATAATTCTACAGCATGAGGGAAACTTATCAAGAGATTGGAAGATAATTAAATGACATTGATTGAAGAAATGAATGTTAAATCTTTGACAACAATAGTTGTCCTCCATTTCAAAGTAATGACTACTAGATACCAAGGATGTCAATTATAATAATAATAATAATTGGTATTTCTAACATCATCATCAGACACATGTTCATAACTAAAAGAATTTTGTTTAAAGATGGAACTAGCATATTTTGTTTTACAGTGAGGTTCACCCTCTACAAGGCCAAGGAGCCACTTGAAACAGAGGGTTACAGAGTAAAAGGCACTTTTTTATGTGGATATGTGGGGAAGATAATGATTAACCCTAGACATGAACAGGTTAAGATCATAGTAATCAGGAAAACATTTCCTTGGGAGTCAGTTCCATGGAGTAGTGCTTTATAGGAAGAAGCTGTTTGAGTGGAACATAATTCTCACCAATGAACTATGGAGAGAATGAGGATGGTTCACTATAATATCACAGCTTGGTAGTTCCTTAGAACTAGTGGCACTATGTAATATAGTTCGTCTTTCTATGAAAGTAGCAACAGAGTAAGTGACAGGTGTGTGACCTCTCATCTGTAAGAGAGGGGTTTCAGGATGGAAAATAATTTGTCACCCACAAGGACACAGAGATGCTTTTGAATTCCATTGAGGCTGAAAAGTGTTTACTGGACAACTCCTGGCCAAATATGACAGCATTACTTCATTTTAGGCCTGATCTGGCTCTTGTAAAGATAGAGGATAATATGAGGAGTCAGGTACTTGCTGGAGTGGTACAGGGAACCAACCATTTTTTTCTGCATCTTTAGTGATGGATCATATATACGAGTTCCACTTGAGGTCTGGGTTGAATTAGAGACCCAATAGTTGCTCAAGGCATGGGGCCTCCCTGAGGGAATATCCATTCATTGTGACTGGTTCAAGGTCTAATCAGCGATGATGGAATGTAACTAGTTTGGCTTTTGAAGCATTGAATGTAACCAACCAGTTTTTCTCCCACTGAGATATTAGAGCTTTGCTGAAGGAGAGATCAGCTGCCAATATCTGATCATCTACAGTTTTTGAGATGTGCACCCATATACTGTTGTATTATTAGCATAGATATTCACAAATGATTGGAGTATATTCTTTGGCAGATCATTTATGTAAACTAAAAAGAGGGTTCATCTGGGAAATGACCCCTAGTTAATGTCTGTGTGTTTGCAAGAGCCTTGGAGGACTGGCCATTAAAAACTACCTTAGGATGTGAGGAAGCGGCCAAAGGTTTGCCTGATGTCCTATCATGTCAGGAATGTGAGTGGATTCTTCCATGATCAGAGTGAGTTCATAGGTGATGGAGAAGTCTCTACAATATCTGCTTACTTCATCACTTTTGTTCAAGTGGACTAACCACTCTTTGTGGTGAATAATGAAGTTACAACAGATATGAAAGCTAAGGTGATGGAAATTCAGTGAGGATATTTGGTCAAAAATTAGCATCCCATCATCCTGAGGACAAAAAAAAGTGAAAATGAATGTTCTACAATGGTTAAGTGCCATGCAGAAGGACATATAAGAGATCAGGGTCCTCGTATTTTGTGTGTCTGCCACTGGGGAACCTTTCATTAATGTAGCGTGCCAAGTCTGTGACCATGGCAGTTTAGGTGGTTGTCATTTGTTATTAGGGGTGAGTAGCCCAGGATTGCAAGCTCCTTTATTGGGATTGAATTATTGATACCCATTTCAGACAGAAGATAAAGTTCTACCTCTGCAAAGATGGAACATAGACCCCCTTATATTGATGTACTGTAGGAGATGGTATATTTTTTTTTTTTTTTTGGTGGAGGTTAGCATATAAAATTAACAAGACTAATGTACTTTTACTGTTCAGTAGTTTTTAATAAAATTCATATTAGAAGTAAAATATATTTCATAACCTTATAAAATTTAAAAATAAAAAATCAGATTTTCATAAGTATATCACGATTAAATGCTATGATTTAAAAATTTGTCACAAAGAAACACTGACATGTACATTGCATTTATTTAGAGTTAGAGTAAATTTTGGTTAGAAAATACATTTAAAGTTCAACTAGATTAACATTTAAATTGAAGAAATGTTTTTATAATGAAAGATTTAGAAAAAAGAATCCATTATTCTATATTGATCAATAAAGAGTTTCATAAATTTACAAGATTAACATGAATAAAAAGTTTAAAAAGAGACAAAATTCAAAAAATTTCTAACTTCTGACATACTTTGTTTTGTACCATGAATGCCCTTTGCTGACAAAGAGTTGATTGACACATGAAACAATATCAATGGTTGGTTTCTTCCATAATTGTTCCAAAAAAAGAATATCTAATGCAATATAAGTCCCAGTTCTTCCATCACCAGCACTGAAAGAAAAAAAATGATCCAAATACAAAAACAAAGAGAGAAAAATTTAAATATACATAACAACAATTCACTACACTACATTGGAATTTTTTTTAAAATAAATACCTTGTATGTTTGGTAACTACTACTATAGATGAAGAGGCTATGTGGGTGAGAGTGATTGTGAAACTAATCTGTATGGTTGGAAAATTGTTTTACATGACTTAATGGTAAATAAATAAATAGAGGTATGTTGCTTTGCAGCCCTTACATATTTTGAAATAAATGTGAGGAAGAAACGAGTATATGTAATAGAAAATATAATTATTAATTTGAAAAAAATTATTTAGTAAAAAAATCCAACTAAGCACATAAAAAAAGAGGAATCCATACTTTGCTATTTCAATAAATATTAATCTAAGTAGATGTTTGCTATTTGTTTGGTAGGGGGGAAATGACCTTCACCTTTGTAAATTATAATATGGTAAATACTAAAATTGGTATGAATTGTCACTCTGAGGCTACTATTTCTTGAATTAAAAGGTGTTTCATGTTATATAAGTTTGCAATTCCATCCTTAAAAAACAAACTTTTTGTGGGGCATGTTTACATTAATAAAAGAGATGTTTCAAATTAAAGCTAAGTTATAATCTTGGAACAATGATAGACCTTCTATGGCATTCAGTTATTGTCAATTTATTGTTTGTTCTGAAAGTCTGTTTGATAATTTAATGTCTATCATTGAATTTCCAGATGGATTTTATTAAGAAAATATATGAATTGTTAAAATGATTAAATTTATTTCAATGATGTTAATAATTTTAATATGTTGAAGGTTTTTTTTTTTTCTAATCTGTGTATTAGGGACTGCATTGTTTTTACAATCTGAAAAAATTTCCATTTATTAATTATTATACTAGCAAAATGTTAAAAGGCTTGGATATTAAAATAAAATTGGACTCTTTAATCAGCTGTATTTTTAAAATAAACAAATTGTCCCTAAAACTTATGAAGTCATTTATATTTTGATTGACCCTCCAACAGAGATATACTCTTATCAGTTATAAACATAAAAATATATAATAAACATTGCTTATTGAATGTAATGTAAGTCAAGAAATACCTGCAGTGGACTACAAAAGGTGGTTTGGAAGATGGTGAAAATCGTACTTTATTTCGGAATTCAATGAAAGATGCTGGTTCCTCTAGGATACCATGATCCGGCCATATGGTGCATTGAAAATGATGTACAAATCTTTTTTCTTTCACAGAATACTAAAATAAAGAATAATTTAATCTTAAAATATAGGAGGGAATTTACATTATTTATATGTCATGATAAAATAAACAGAAAGAATAGTAATACAAAGTTTCTATATAGCCCCTTGTGCAAATTGGATTTTTACTAAGAAATTTTCTATTTATTTACACTGTTTATATTCAGACTATTGTCCTCATTGTATGAAGACTATAGTCTGAATATAAATAGGGTGAATAATGATAACTCCTCATCCCAGAAATTCAGAGAGCCATTTTTCTATAATGCAAATGAAAGTGAATTTATTAAAAAATAAAACATGTTTCCTTAGAAGAATCTAAACTTTTAGCCAATCAAGCATCTTCTTTAATACAAGGAATATTTTTTTCTGATAAATGGATTAGAAGAAGTGGACTAGTATTTTAGGTCTAGAGATTTGTCTCCAAATGTGTTCCAATTTTAAAATATTAGTTCACTCAATAAAATATATCTCTCAAAGATTGTCATACAATAAGATTTATAGCTTATGGACAGAATCTCTGCAGAATGTCTTTTCTTTTATCAACAATATCTTTGCTTTTTATCATTGTCTGATATATTTAAATTGCATCATGTCCTTTACTTAACATATGTTGCAGGCTACTCTGGAAACACAAATCTAATCAAACAGGAAGTTAATGCTTCAGAATCAAAAATGCAAATGACTAATACACATTCATACGCAAGTATATGTGGTACAGAGCTTCCATTTCTTTCAACTTAAAGAAAATAAGAAATTCAGATCACATATTTCAGTGAATCAGAGAACTCCCTACCTAAAAGATTGGAAATACATAAGATCCAGCATTTGTTTCAATAAACTGTATATGAAGGAAAGCAGAATTAGTTTTGGGTCCTTTTTTTTCAACCATTGCTATTGGAAGCCATGTCAGTCTTTTCTTTGATACATTTTCAAGAACGCAACATGTAGAATTTGATTTTTCTCACCTGATTGAAACATTCTTTTCTCTCATACATACAACTAGAGAAATATTATAGACTACTTTTCTTTAACATAAACATTCAATACAAAAAACAGAACACACAAATTTATCTGGTATTTTTTATTAATACTCATACATTTTTAAACACAATGAATTTTACTCACTCATCAAATACCAAAATTGTTGTTATATAAAATCAATGTTATTTAATTTTATTTTCATTCTCTGTGTTCTTTTAAATCTATTTGTTGTGGAATTACTACAGAGGCTGTAGTTCTGCAACAATACTAATATGTTTGGATAAAAATATTCACAATTATGTTGCTGGTATCACTACTTTTGATATGAGTATGTGTACTTTGTATAGTAAATATTTACAGGCTCCTGGAACATTTATCCCGCTAACAATATTGGCAGGTAAAAATAAGTAACACAAAACAATGAATACAAAACTGATGATAATGTATATTATTAACAAAAGGAATTACACGTGTATACAATTGTACCAAATGGAAATAACATTAAAACTAGCTATAAGAAGAATGTGATTGTTTGTTTGTGTGTGTGTGTGTGTATATGTGTGTGTTTGTGAAACAAGCATGTGTGATAGACATGTTTCTATGTGTGTGTGAAAGCAAGAGAGAGAGAGTTCAAAGTCAATAGAGAACTAAAAAGAAGTGCTAAGCTCCTCAGCACAACATTTCTACCTATGTTGACTACATCTGAAATATGAAGGAAGCCACATTATTCTCAAATATTACATCTAACCAATCACTACTAAATCTAGATACTTTAGTCAAAATGACTGGGATTTTAGTGACATGGAAATAAGTAAACTTTTAGCCAATGAAATTATTGAGCCAAGTATTTTGCCATGGTATACCCAAGTCATTAAAGATGAAATCAAAAGATATAGAAAAAGATGGTGTGTGGATTAGTAGCAAATATAAAATATATACACTAAACCTGATGCCTACCAGTTGCTAAGGATTAATGATTTAGTTACAAAGCTTGCAAAGTATAAATATTTCTCAACATTCAACTTAAAAAGTGTCTGTCATCAAGTTAAACTAAAGCAGCCTGACAAAAAAGTACACATATTTAAAGACAATGTTTGACTTTATCTGTTTATTCAACTTCCATTCAGGGTGTTACCTCTTTCCAACAATCAATGAACAAGACTGTAAAAGAATAAAATCTGAAAGATATTTCATTGGAGGTTGAGACAGAAAAGGAAGCATGATAAAAGCATATGATTTTCTTTTTCAAAAACAGATTTTAACTTAGGAAATGATTTCAGCTATTGAATGTCAAAAGCTTTTGTTACAAGTAAGCTTTATCTCCCCCTTTCTCTTTTTCTATTTCAATTATTTTCAAGATAATGCTTTGAGAAAATAAAACATATTTTCATGAGTTGAATTTTGTTGCACGGAATTGTCCTTAATAGTCATGTGTTTTCAACCCATTTGAAATCAGTGACAAATTTTGAAAATGCACAACATCCTGTTAGTGTCAATGAGAAAATCTGTTCATTAAATAATTAGTAAATATTTTAAACAATCTAGTGATATGATTTTATAGCCAATGATAAGATACAGTAGAAGTTAGGAATATCAGTGTCATTCCCTTGCTTAAAAGAAGAGAAATAATTGTTCTTCCCACCCAAAGCTCAAGTCTTTGTTGATTAATAGTGTACAGAAAAGAAAGTCTTTTTATAAGAATATTTTGCTGAAGCCTTTAATTTGTGCTTTATCTCAATATAAATACTTTTATCCTGAAGAAATTCATTCCATTAACTCTATTTGTTTCAATCTTGTTATTGTTATCTATATCTTTATGATAGTTTGTAATTTTGTTTGTTACTGTAAAAGAGCAAAAACAGCACATCATAGCAAGATTTTTGTTAGAACAATTCCATTAAAATGATTCTAATACAAAAAATAAAGCAACTTGCAGTCTAATTTAGAACTTAAAAATAATAGTATTTGGTCTGCATTTATATTCACATTGATAATGATTTAATTTTTGTATTGGTGTTTAAAAGCTGAAATGAAAATAGCATCTACACACAAAAAAAAAATGAAAGGAAATGAAAAGATAACTAATTGAAAAAATACCTTTATTTCCCCACCTCAAAAAAAAAAAAAAAAAAAAATGCTGATTAATATTTTTTATGTTAAAATAAAATTTATTAACAAAATAACTCATTTCATTTAACTATTCATGCAAAATTATTATCAATTTTATATATTTTCCCATTTCATCATGAATATTTCAAAAACTGTTACAAAAAAGAAAATAAATTGTAAGCATGTTTTCTTTTGTCTGAATTTAAGAAATGAAGAATTATCTTATTTACACTATTTATATTAGGACTATTGTTCTCATCAACATAAATGATGACAATAGTTAATATATAGTGTAAATAATGTGCATGTATGTTCAAAAATCATATAACATTAGACTCCTGCTGATTGAGATTAGTATATGTAAAAGTAAAGTTAACTTGACATTTTAAACGTATTTTGGCTAATTATATAGTTCCTTTTATTTATTTGCCAGTAATTATAATACAAATTCTATAAATAGAAAGTGGCTTGACATCAACATAATGCTCTCTTTTTGTGCTCTTTAAGCAAATATATAGAAAAGTTAACTTCTTTTTTTTTGTGACTTGGGATTTGAAATATTACTTGGAGGTTCAAGAGTGAATCATTAATTTTCCTTCAAGTTTCAAATAGTTCTTGGCATTATTTCTTACCTTCTTGATTGCCAAAATTCGGTAAATATAGACCATGGAATGTTTCTCTTGAACACATTGGATTTGAAATTTTCCATGATTTTCTATTTCATTCAGTTTTGGCCAGTAGACACAGCATTTCAACTGAAAACAATAGCAAAAGGAAAAAATTATGTAGACACTTTTTTAGTAGCAGCATTTATTGAAATGAGAAATGTAGTTTTATGTAAACATTTAGAGAAAAATTTGATTTTCATTATATAATCGAATCAAAAACATTTATTCACAAATTTTACAAAAATGTGAATGAGTCAATTTAAAAAATTATATGTAAAATGGTTGGAAAGAAAGTTCTGTCATTTGTTTTGCCAAAATAAGTTTAAGCCATTGTTTGTTCATATAAGACAAACTTAGGCATATAACATTGTGTTCTGAACTTTCTTTTTCCTTCCAAAAATATTTGATGTCAACCATGAATAAATTTTAAGTGATGCGATACATTCAAGTCATTGCATGCATTGAAAGATCCAAAAGGTTAATAACAATTATGAAAAGGTTGGAAAAAATTATAAATATTATGCCTCAAAATTGCTCAATTGAATTTGTAATTCATTATTAAATATGAAGAGATTCTGAAAAGTTCTTGGCATAAATTCATTTGGGTAGTGGATTGGAATGAGAACTTTTCAGTAATGCCTCATGTGTGAGTATATATAAAGAAAAAAATAACACCTACAAATTTATACATAATCAACTAAAAAGTTAATAATTGTGAAATTTGGCAGCTCTTTCATGATAGTTATTTTGAGAGATTATATATTGTTACCATGTCAGAAAAATTAAAAAAAACAACATTTTGGAAAGAAACTCAGAAATGCACAATGATCAATAGAAAATCAAAGGTTTAAATGTTGCTGTAAAAGTTCAAAATGTTAAAGAAAAAAAAATACCTACAAATTTATACATAATCAACTCTACAGCAGAGAGAATTATTGTAGAATCACAAGACAGACATTTGTTGATGTTTGTAATAACACTCTCTTTCTGAAAGTGCTTATAATTTCTATAATGTCTGTATAATTTTGGTTGCACATGCAGTGTTTACATATGTACTAGTATATGTTTTGCATATTAGGTGTCAAATACATAACTTATTCAAATGAATAGGTAGATTTTTTTTTACCTTTCCATTTTCCATAATTTCAGTTAACATAACAATTGTGTTGCATTTTTCTTGCCAAATCATCCTCCAAAAATCCTCGATTGTTCCTTCCAAAGGTCCTAAAATTTAAAGTTCAGGTACATAGAAAGTGATTAATAGGTCAAGTAGAATTCTCAAACATATTATTTGTTTTTACAATTTAAAAAATAACTCTTCCTAAATTGATGCTATAATTTCATATATATTGGAAACCAAAATACAATCTAAAAAAGCCAGTAATTATGAAATTTGGCAGCCTTAGGAAGCAAAAAGAATAGAAGAGTAATCAAGACAGTAGATAGGAATTGACATTGCATTTAAATTTTTGAAGATCAAAATTGGATGTAAAGCAAGAAGCCGGAAGAGTGTTCCACGTGTGCACAGTTTGATAGAAGAAACTGTTTGCATTGAACTTATGGTTACAGCTAACCATTTCAAGTGTAATATGATGAAATCTTGCTGCTAATCTAGTAGTACACTTAAATTCATAAAGTCTAGACATCATAGTGAAGAGTTCATCCAAACAGTTACTATGAAATTATTTGTAGAAAAGGTATTGGATAAATGTATTACAGTATTTGGAAAGTCACTGAAGCTGAGATGTCAGCTCAGGTCCAATAATATTGCTGATTCTTCTTTAGATTTTCTAAATATACACTGGGAAACACTAGCAGAAGTGGCAGCAATATTCAAAGTATGGATGAATGGTAGACTTATAAATATGCAACATAGATTCTGGAGAGAAAATTGTCAAGCACAATACAATGAGCTAACATTTTTAGCAGCAGATCTAGCAATGGATTTAATATAATCTTTTCACTTCATATCAGCTGAGTATGTTAGGCGAAGAAGTGTAACAAGTCACTCATGTGATGTGAGGTGCTTAACCAATTCAAAGTTAATTGCTGTCTTGAGTAGCTTACCAAAAAGAGGTAGAAGACTAATAGGTCAATTGTTGAAAGGGTCACATTGTTCACCTGAGGTCTAAAAGACTGGGTCAACAGAGAAGGATTTCCAACAAGCATGAAAGCAAGAGGCAGTGAAGCTTGTTAGGGATTGAACTCACAACCTTTTTACTTGCTAGTGTTTGTCTAACAATTCTTCAAATGAAACTGACAGTAATTACCTTTGTTCTCCAACAGAAAGATAAAAACAATTTCAGAATGAAATAAAAGGTACTGTTTGAAATTCTTTAGAAGTTGTTAGAAGGCAGGAGAGTGTACCAGCCAAGAGGTAGTGATCAAAACAAGAAAGATGAGATGCTAGTTTTATATTTCATTATTATAGTTTGATAAAAGGATTTCCCAATAGCAAATTCAATGTATTTTATTGGATGTTTTAAGTTGTGTTATAGACAAGTGTATGGTTGCAAGAAAGAAATACGACAACAGTAGAAATAGATTTACGTGGTTTATTTCAACAGGAACGTGTGGGTTTGGGACAGCTACCTTGTGGTAAAGTTCATAAGCCGTTTTTTTGGATCTGGTCGATCTTTCATAGTAGTTCACACATGTTGACGGTGGTTGATGCTCCCTGCTGCTGATCGCGTGGCCTGACCGTCAGGTCTGTTCAGCGGCCACCTGTTGACTGCCTGAACTTCCCTTTGACCCCTTTTATAGCGTTTTTTATGGCTTAACAGGCTCGAGAAACGAAGCGAGTATAATTAGGAGGGAAGCATTTTTTTATTGGACGAAAAAATAGAGCACTTTAATTATTATTTTATTTTTTGACCGGAACACGTGTCGGAAACATTTGTAAAGAAAGTTAATGGTCATTTTGTGACGGGGCTTTGTCCCGTTCAAAAATTCTCGCTCTTGAGTATTTGCCTGTAAATCAGCCGAGATATGTCATTTTATTTTATAACAGTTGTGTCTATTCACTTACTTTCACACATGAGATGGAATTATTTCAAATCAGAGACATACAATGTTTTAAGCAAGACAAATCAGTTAATGTTAGTGACTTGCCAAGCATAAAAAATTGGGATATTTTTAATGATTACAGTTTATATGTAATAAACCTAATAGGTATAAGTTTGTTCTGTCTTTAAATTGATCAAAATAGAAAGACTTTGTGTTGATATTATTCAGAAGATTTTTTATTTATAAACAATGTTGAGAGAAATCAAATGTACCCAATCAGTTTGTGATTAATGCAAATATTAACAAGATCATGTGCAACAGTATGAAAACTGATTGCTTTCATGCAGAGTGAGTAAGTCTGCTTATTTTTAAAAGCAACAGAGAAATAAAAAAATAGAAATTGTCAAGTGAAATCAAAATAATTTTAAAAGTGCTAATGAGGAATTTAAATGTAATGTCAAATTGGAAAAAACAAAATTATCACAATCTAAAAGAAGAATAGTGAATCTGTAGGTTATGTGGAATCAGAATAGAAAATGATAAATATCTACATGAAGAATTCAAAATGGAAAGGGATTCAATCTAAGAGAAATCTGAAGGCAAAATAAAATTGAAATGAAAAAAAAGATAAAAATCTTAAATTTGAAAGTTTTATAAGTCTGAAAGAAAAAAGACAAAAAAATTAATGTATGTAAAAGCTGAATGCAAATTAAGATCAAAATATAATAATCTATATTCTAAGTGAAGAAGAACATTTTTCATTTAATGTCATCTTCCTTAGGTATAGACATTAATGGCTCTCCACACATTCCTTTCTTTGTTATATATGACTTGGAATCTTATTGCAATGATTTCTCATTAATTCTTTAATTTTGAATACAGTTTTCTGTTTTCAAGATTAGCTACTGCCAAAATTTAGAGAACCCAATATTCTCTGCTTTTCCTAGTTGAGGTGAGAAAATCAATTAATGCCTTTCTTAATGGCAAAGCTATGAAAAAGAATAAATTTTAAGTAATAAAATTGTAATGAAATGTGATGAATGGTGAGAGAAGAATAGTAAATCTGAATGTAAAAATGAAATCCCCATGAGAAGTCAAGGAATCCTTAGCAACAAAGAAAAAGAGATGCTAAAATAATAGAATATATTAAGAGGTGAATTAAAAAGAAAATCAAAACTGAAGATAAAGATCATACAGAATGGAATGAAAAACACAATGTTTCATGAAACTATGTTTCAAAGCTTGCTTTAATATCAAATATTAATGTCAATATATTTAATACTAAAAAGTAAATGATTAGCTCTGATCATGTCAAAATTTTCATAATATGAAAATCCTGATTAATTTTCATTTCGTTCATTAATTGCCTAAACAAGCATATATTATGTATTCATCACAAATAAAAATAAATTAAAATATTAGATATACACCAATAATTATTGCAATTATATTTCTGGATAATGAAAAGATCAAAATATATATTAAAATTCATGCTGTGGTTATTATCTTTATCAATTACAATGTAAGTTTTGTCACAAGAGTAAAACCCAAATAATGGCTGTTGAATTTTCACTGAACATGACAATGAAATTTTAAATATCATATTCATATAAGTAAATTCAGTCATTTTAAAAATGGATGTAATTTTAAAATTAAGCATATTTAAATACTTATTTTTTTTTAAATATTTAAATAAATAATATTTTCTATTATTCAGTGGTGCATATATAGATGATAAAATGTCCCTACCTTGTGTTAAAAAATGTAATTGTCTCCTACCTGAAACAAAAATAATTGGCAACAATTAAATCCTGAGCAATATTTCTGAATTAGTACAAGATAGAAGTAAATTTTTAATATCTCTGTCCTATAATATATGTTACATATTCAAGGTTGTTTACATGTCTATTGGCCACCATTAGAAAAATGACCTTGACCTTCACAACCTCTGATCTTGCAGATTCAAGTCAAGCAGTATGTGAGAAACTGGATCACTGGCCAATATGGTTCCTCCAAAACTGTACCTCGTGAGCATAGGATTAGGCAGTGCTTCCCAAACATCGAACAACATGGGGGAGTAATTTTATATCTATGGTTTTCTACTCCCTCTAGCCAGGGAGTACTTGAATAAATCCTTTCACATATCGTTGTTCGTAACTGTTCACACCTTCCTTCCAAAAAGCTTGCAGGGGCGGCATCCTTATTGGCCCTGCAACATGTCCTTGTGATAATTTCATTTTGTGATATTTAAACACAACAGTTGCAATTTAAAACAAACTGTTCAAAAGTAAACAACAATTGAAATTTCCAAAATTCTATCTTCTGTGTTTATATATTTTAGAAGATAATATAAAAAAAATGGGTGGAAATTTAAGAACATGTAAGACAACACCAGAAAATTACAAATGATATTAGAAATGCTGTGTTCCAACATTTGTAACAATGTTCTAAAATTAGAAAATTAATGAATGCAGCCATAAGTGCTGCTTCAAAAGACTTAAAAGTACAAATGCTAAAAAGTGCTTAAATCTAAATATTGTTCAAAATTAATTATTCCAAACAATGAATTAATAATTATTTAATTTTCATTGTGTTTATCATTTGATTTTATTTACAAAATCAACAAACATTTTGTAACAAATTTCACAACATTACAAGACAGTGGTATATTATATAAATATTAATATTTTATAAAAGTACAACATTTACTCTTTAGTACAGGCCTACACAATTAAAAAAATGTGAAAGACCACATAACTTGCAGAAAAGAGTAAACTTTTAGAATTATGGATTAAAAAAATAGTGCAAATGCATTGATACATCCCAAAGGTGGAATGTCTTAATCAAATAACAAAGATTGTGCATTGTCCTTGGTAATAGTTAAGCATGAAAGAACTATTTTTGGGGGCAGTGGGGGTGAGAAGAAAGTTTTAAAATTAGATTTTGATACTTTAACCCACATGCCCTTATTTTTAACCATGGGTTATGTGATTTTTTTGATTTTTTGATATTTCAACATTTAAGTTAGACAATTTTTTTACAGGCCATGTGATATGGTGTCATGTATTTTTTAGGTCACATTATCAAGTTTAGATCATAGATTAATTCACTGACATCACATAACCTATCACAGGATCAGATTAATTTTAATATTTTTTTAAGTTTAGAATTCTAACATATATT